GAGCAAAACTGCTCTCACCGTCGCGTTGTAAATCCGACCTTTTACAGCCAGACTAACATCACGAAGGCGCCAAAGATGGCCCAGATTGGCATAAGCCGCTCTGGCTTTCACTATACGAGCATTGATCTCATCACTCACACCACCACCAGCACTTATGCAGCTACCTAGATACACGAACTTCTCGACTACTTCAATCTGCTCACCATCCAGAGTGAGTACAGGATTAGAATCGTGCCAGTCTTGTAGAAGTACTTTGCACTTCGAAGGTGCAAAGCACATACCATACCTACGGACACTGATTGCCAACTGATTAAGTGCGGATTGCATGGCTTGGGCATTCTCGCACAGTAAGACAATATCATCCGCATACTCAAGGTCGAGAAGTCTTTCTCCAGGCAACAGATCCACACCACCATTACTTACATCCATCAGAGCTGTTTCTAGAATGTCATCGATGGCAAAGTTGAAGAGGAATGGTGAGATTGGGCAACCCTGCCTAACCCCACTGCTCGAATGGAATAGTGGAGAAAGGTGGTTGTATGCCCTCACTCTGCCTGAGGTGTTTGTGTATAGGGCTTTTAGGATGTTAATAAACTTCTCAGGCACACCCTTCTTCAATAGACAATCCCAGAGAACAGTTCTGTCCAACGAATCGAAGGCAGCCCTGATATCAAGAAACACTACGATTGTTGGCCTTTGATAAGTATGGCGGTGTTCTAACACTTGGCGGAGGGTGAAGATATGATCAATACATCCTCGACCAGAACGAAACCCAGCCTGCTCCTCGCGAGTCAATCCTTCTCGGGTTCTGAACAACCTACGAAGTATAACGGAAACCAATAGCTTGGACGCAATGGGAAGTAGACTTATCCCCCGATAGTTGTTACAGGAACAACGTGAACCCTTTTTAAAGATAGGGACAACTATCGACTCATTCCATGACGTTGGTACACACTCTAGTTCCCAGATCTTTGTAAACAACGTCGTCAGTACCTTAGTCAGAAAGTCACCACCATCTTTACAAAGAGCCGGAGGTAAGTCGTCTGGGCCCGGTGATTTGTAACGTTTCAAGAGTTGGAGTTCCTTGCGGACTTCCGCCTCATTTGGTGGATCAGTCGTCACCGGCCATGGAGGGCAGGACAGTCTGACCGATGTTGCCGGAGCAGCAGGCCAGTCGAACTGTCCTTCGAACAATTCTGCTCATCGTCCAAGACGTCGATGGGTGTTAGTGATTGGCGTTCCGTTATCCTCGCTCACACCAGACTTCTTGCTGCCAGTGGCTCGGATGAGTTGAAAGAGTTTCCGGTAATTACCAGATGCAGCGGCAGTCTTGTAGACAACCACGCCAGCGGTAGCTGATCGCGATGTGATCAATCTAAGTCGAGGCTTGGGATGCAGAAGGCGGACGCCAGGTGGCACATTGGCGATGACTGTGCCTAAAGTTAGTGCTAGCCAGAAACAGGTTGTGGTCTGTGCATATTTCATTACGTAACATCCTTCGTTTGTGGTCAAACTCACGGTCACCCGGAGTAGACCGACGGGCTTCAATCAGTTGTAAGGAACCAGAAGAAACCCAGTGCTTGTAAGCGGGACGTTTCGCAAACCCACAACAGACTGTACCCGCCATTTTCATGGCGTCATGCAATCGCAACCAATGCTCATCTATACTTTTCGGTGGAATGGTAGCTAGCCTAGAAGCTAGCTCGGTTCGGTACTTACTAGCAACAGAAGTTGCAGCCAGCTTGCTAACATCAATCCTTTGGTGGCGGTCACTTCGTTGTCCACTGAAAAGTAAGGTAAGATTGGCGCAGACCAGAGCATGATCAGATTCCAGATAGGTACTCCAAAAGGAGCGGCAGTCTTGTACACAACCGCGCCAGCGGTAGCTGATCGCGATGTGATCAATCTGAGTCCAGGCTTGAGATGCAGAAGGAGGACGCCAGGTGGCACATCGGCGATGACTGTGCCGAAAGTGTAGTGCTAGTCAGAAACAGGTTGTGGTCTGTGCATAGTTGCAGTAGACGTTCCCCGTTATCTGTCCTGCGACCAACGAGTCCCCATCGGCCACCTAAACGACCCTCTTCTGTGCCTAGACGCCCGACCTGAGCATTCAAGTCTCCAGCTAGTACTACAATATCTGTCGAACGCACTTTCTGGAGAAGAACAGTTAGCTGATGGTAGAACTCGTCCTTGATTGCATCCGGGCTGCAATCTGTCGGGGCATAGGCGGAGATGACGAAAAGACATCGTTTCTCACGCCGATTTCTTCTCACTTTGATGGAACTTTCTAATCTAACAGCACATAACGGAGTGTTAATGGGGATCCAGTCGATTAGTGCTGCCTCAGCTCTAGGGCTTAGTGCGACACCAACGCCAGCAAGACCAGACGAAGATGCCACAGGGTCCCCGGATAAACGCACGCAAAACAAGCTTTTTGAAGTGACAGATGGAGAGCGAATTTGTAGTACTTCACCAGAGTCTTGAATACGGGTCTCGGATAGACAACACACATCAATATTAAGACTTTCCAAAGATATAGCCAGTCCTATCTGTTGTCCGACCTGCATAAGTGTGCGAACGTTGAAGGTAGCCAGTTTGAATGGTGCACGCGGTTTCAGAAAGACTGCTTCAGTACTCATGTTCGGTAGTAACATACAATTTTCAACCAGGCAGTGACTCGGGAACGTTTAGATAAAGCTGAATTTTCACCATAGGTGAGCTGCTGTCTAGGTCGAAACGCATATATAAAGTAGGAATAAGAGAGGGTGAATAAATGACGTGGTAGAGTAATAATAATAATAATAATAATAATAATAATAATAATAATAATAATAATAATAATAATAACAATAATAATAATAATAATAGTACGAGTTATTTCAATGTTAATCAGATAGAAAGGAATATTTTCCATAAGCGAATTGTTCATCATAGTTTTAGTGAGTGGGCTGGGATACTGCCCGGGTGCCCAGACCGAAGCAGGTGGTTTTCTTAGGGGGCCACACCCCGAGCCTTTGACCTAAAGGTCTAGTCCACAAGGCAGTGGAGCATCGTGAGGAGATGCAGTCCCATGGAAGCCGGTGACCAAAAGTTGGTTCATACGCCATTTGTTCCCGCAGGATACTGGAGCCCATGTGCACCATTGGTTTGGGATCCGGTTATAGCGCCGGAAGTTCGCTTTTCGTCCTCTCATTTTCGTAAACAACACCCCCGCCACGAGAAGGCAGTGAGTAGGACTTCCCTGGCAGAGGCTGTATACGCGTGGCCGTGTGAGAGTATTTCGAGAGGGAGGGCGAACCCTCCCCACTCTCGGCCATACCAGGGCATTTGGGGGCAAGTGTAAACAGGGTGCACTCTTGGGAGACCACCAAGTTAGGGGTAGTCTCCCTAGTTAGGGGTAGTATTATCTGAAAAACGTTTCGGTACCAACTTTCAATGTATTTTATATATTTTTCAAGTGTTATTTTTCTGGAAACCACCTTATTGATGTTAGCTGATTTATGGTTGCATTTGTTAATCCGTAAAAACGTATCCCATTTTCCATTAACCTTTTTAGCTAAATAGTTTTGTAAATTGACTTGTAAAAAACTTAAAATGCTGGAAAAATAGGTTTTATAGATGCCTTTAGTATCCCTGCTATTTTAATATCTCAATTGTTTTATCACATGCATTCTGATTTCTGCTAGAAAAATGATTACTAAAAGCCTTGTTTCCCAGACTAGTAACGGAGATAGAATAACACGATTTCCTCTCTTCTCTTAACAATTGAAACCAATGTTATTTGTGATAGAGATCTAAAAGGAGTTTTATGGTGACGATAAAAATACTTTGTGCCTAGAAAACCTGAAATTGTGTATGATAATATTATTAGTTTGATATGCGATAAGATAAATGCTTACCGATTACAATTGTTCGTTTGACAGTCGCAACCTAATACCAAGTACCTGTTCAAGTTTGTTGGGATCCCGTTTCTACTCACTGTCTACGTAAATGATTCAAAGTAGTTGAAAAACGCATGTGTCTGAGTTGGTAGCAGAGACATTCTCTGTATAAGATCAATCTAAAATTGTGTGGCATATTTGTAGCATTTTGCTGTAAACACACTAGTGTATATTACTTCTTTTTAAGTAATCCTATTCAATATATATGAGATTCCGTAGTAGCTAGATTTCCTGAATATCTCATCGTATTACTGAAATCGTTATCAGTGACATCCCTCTTACTTTTCCCTAATTTCATTTTATTTTTGAGAGAGGGTACATTGGTACTTATGTTTCATCAACCCTTTATGCTCGAAATAAATAACATATTAGTGTTTTTAATGATTCATTAAGTTAGTGTTTGGCAGTACAGGTATTTCGATTATATTTCTCTTGCATATTCCCCTCCGTTTTTGCTAGATAAACTTTCCAAAATGTAGTATGTTTTTCATTAGCATTTAAGTTGTTTTTCGTCATCAACGTACAGTAGTGCTCTTATTTTCGTGTATCGTATGGGAATAAAGATCGTTGCTTTAGACAAGATGAATAAATATGGCCTGGATGGAAGTTTTTGTACTCATCCTAGTTTTTTAAATATTACTATTGTAGGTTGAAGATTAATTTGAATGTTAGAATAAAAGTAATGTTTATTCGGTATGTCATGATTCATATTTTACTTTAGCAAAGCTAGTGAGGTGATACAACTTTTGGTTGCTAACTAACTCTTTCAGTGAATATTTTGTCTTCAGTATACCTGTTTATAGGTTTCAATCTCCCCTACATATCTGTTTTACAAACCAGTTAGTATCGTCATCTGTCGAAAAGTGTAGTTCATGGCTTAGTTTCTGAATGTGCATTTAATTATTGTGTTAAATTGCTGCATTTCACCCATTTTCTGTTACCTATGAATGTTTTTTCAATGTTTTTTGTTGATTTCAATTACACAAAGTTCTTTATAATACCTCAGGCTCAAACTTTTCGTATAAAATCTTTTCATTTCATTTCAAAACCATAGACATCATGGCAAACAGTGAGAACACCGGATTGTCGAAAGCTGCAACTGCTGGAACTATTTTCGGTACTGGATTATTGAGTTGTGGACGTGTAGAAAAGCGTACTTTTTTAAGTGCTCTCCTGGGTGCTGGACTAGGATTCGCACTAGGGATCCTTACACATGGTCTGTTGAATGGTTTATTACTATTCTTGAAACGTGATAAACAGAGTGAACAGTTGCGTCATATGACTGAACAGTTAGCTAGTGTTAGAGCAGAATTGTCGGAATTGCGTAATGAATTATATAATACTCACGTAAAGAGTTTGGATAGAAAAGATAATGTAAGTATTTTCTTTACGCTGTTTTTACTATCATATTATCATCTCGGTAAGATGGTTATATCGAGATAAGATTTTTAATTGTTAGGTGCGGTATTCGGCGATATATAAATTTATACCTCAAGTTTTTCTCAATCTTTAGATACATATCAAGACTAGCTAAGGACTGGGAGACAGATTTCTAATTAACTATAAGTGTGCCAATTTATTATCGACCTAACAAATTCTATAGTTGGTCAAAGCAGCCGACATAAGTCAATTGGATGATGCATCTTTAGGTTAGCAGCCTCAACATGCACTCAATGTTAAAATATTTGACCATCAGGAGTGTCCAGTTAGAATTTTGTAGTAGTTCATATTATCTGGACCTCAATTACACATTTCATTGGTTTTTTGAGTGGAAATATCATTTTTTTCGCTTTCATACTACATGAATTCGTGATGTTTAAAACACTATATAATTAAATGGAAATAAGCGAACAATATTCTTTTCGATTAGATCCCCATCAGGCTTTAATATACAGTAATATTTATATGCAAATACGAAGTTATTAAACCAATCCTCAACTAAAGGATGAGTTACCTGGTTATGCTACTTCTATGTGTGTCTATGAATTCAGCTGCTCCTGTGGAGGAAGCTATATTGGGCGCACTCCCAGATAACTGATCCAAAGACTTAATGAACACCTCTCTTCGTGGTTAGGCAAAGGTACTGTCAAGACAACACACTGCTCAGTTCTATCACACTTGTTCGATAGCGATCATGTAGTAGACAGAAATAAGTCATTTATCGTATTCCTATTAGTTTTCCTTATGGGTTTCGATCTCGTCTCTTACTCATAGCAGAAGCTATAGGAATTCGAGTCAACAATGCAAGTCTTTGTGTTCATAAGAAATTTGTAACATCTTTATCTCTCCCTTGGCTTTAATGAATGATTTTATTTATTATTACTTTCCATACTTTTTCTTTGTTTATTTTTCTCCACCCTCTCCCACCCTTTTCTTTTTTTCTTAAATATACGTTCCATGGTCCAATTATCTGAACACTTCCTATTACGTAATCTTATAATTTTTATGAGTCTTATTTCAATGTCTATATTTTTCTAATCATTGACCTATTTCCCATTATGTAACATTGATTCAAGTCTTAATTATTCTTATCACAACTTGTACACCTGTCATCATACTACCAATTTTTCAAATGGAAATAAGATGAATCATTATGAAGTTATACTTTGAAAGAATCATACCGTTGTGAGATTTGGTTATATTTGAAGTACGGCAATTCGAACCTCAAATAGTGTAATGTATTTGTGAAGAGAATTTAAGCGAACTACATATGCTCATTAGAAGCTCGTTCATATGTATTTGAACAACTTCTTCGTCAGCTTTAAGTATCAACTATTCATAACATACATTAAGGTCCTCTATCGATCCATATTGATCAGTATTTTGTGTTACTACTTTATTTGTTCTAAATTGGGACAATGAATGTTTCTGTATGTACTGAAATATCCAGTTACACAAATTTGTAAGCGTGATTGATAGACTAAATTAAAATCTTAGTTAAAATCACCGTAGGATCAGTGGAAACAATAATAAGTTTAGTGTTATTCCATACCAATTGATGAGGGGGTTTCTCATATACCAAACTTCTCATACTTGACCAGAAAGCCAATTTTAGTCTTGTAAGTAATTCATATGGCCTTAACATAATTTAAATTTCTGGAAAATATTCAATGTCTCACGATTTGATGTAGTATGCACTACTTAGCGGACGAATATAGGTAGTATGTAGCAGGAATGGGAAGTAGAATGCTTACCAATAGAAGAGTGAAATAAGGAGAAAAGGAGGGAAATCGAAGAGCGATTGGAATAATAACAGAATTGGAAGGACGACGAAGTGTGTAAAGAACAACTAAAGGAGAATATACAAATAATGTATTTAATGTATGAATTTCATATTTTACTAAACTACCGTTTGATTTTGCATAAAACAATAAATTGGTTTACCTCTCTTGAGTTTTCCTTCACTTCAGTAGCAGTACACATAGTATCAAGTTATTAATTTTATAGTTCTCATATTAGATGAACTAAATTACTCAGTCATTAACTAGGATATCTGCTTCGGTTTGGGCACCCGGGCAGTATCACAGCCCTCACACAAATTAAATGAGATTTGTGAGGCGCATATGTATTTGGTGCCTCATTGTACCAATATCTATGTGTTAAAATAAGAAATAATAATAAATAGGATATCGAAATTTACCAACTATTGCAACACAAACTTCAAATTATATATTTGTGAACTGTCAGTTAATTATTGTCTTAATTTGTACGTACGGAACGGTAGATATTCTCAAATGTTTGTTGCTTGTTCTATTAAGTCAAAATAGTGACCAACACCTTATTTCTGTTTTTGTTCATACTCCTTGAACAACATCTTCAAACCCTAATCTGCTGCTTATACTTTTACTACCTCTACCAGTACGGGATTTCAATCGACAATTGTACCTCTGTGCTAATGTGGTATGGCAACTCGAACTGATGTACGTACGTACGAAGTTCTAAGTTGTTGCTGATTGACTGGTTTGCTAACCAGTGTAATATGTAAAAGTGGAACAATTGCTGAGCATCTGAGGCGATGAGTGTTCATAGCCTCATGAATTGATTTCTCTATCTACCTAGTATCTTAAGCCTTACCTCAGAGTTATATAATTTTCAGTTTCACAACATACAACCAACGATGTCATCGCCGCACCAATTCTATTTAGAGATCAGTATTTTTTAATGCATGACTCAACAGTTTGAAAAGACTGCAACAGATACTAGGTTATTTACCTATTTTATTGGGACTGTTGGCTCTACATGTGTGAACTAGTTCATTAGTCTTCAGTTATTTAGTACATTTTTTATATGCCAACTTTTATGCACAAATTCGATTAGAGCAAACCAAACCGATGCTTTCATCTTTGCATCTCAAGGTAGAACTTTTAATTGCTATTTATGATACAACATCCTATACACGTCTGCAACTGTTTAGCGTTACTATTGAACGATAAATATAGTTATGAATTAACTGAGTCTAGACTGAATAGACCGAACAGGTAAATCACCTCGACAATAGGCTTTAGATTTGGAGGAGATTGAATATCACGACAACTGTTCTCTGGCCGAATGATTCCTACTGGATTAAATTAATCTATATATTTAGGAGAGGTGACTCGACCTTAAATTATTTATTCAGCCTTACGAAGGTTAAATAAAACTGACAGCGAAAGCAACCAAACAGCTGTTGATGTTTTACTTTCAACTGTTGTGTTAACTTTGGCATTTTATTATTCAAAACATCTTTATATATGTTTTGTTTATATATTTTGTCTTACCTATACATTACTCTTGTAGGATGACGTCCCACCAATTTTTATAGCCGATGATGACTACGACCTAGATGATGATTACGAAAACTACTTGGATGTGGAAAATGTCGGTGATGAGTAAGTTCTAGTTGGTTTCGACTCTGTGTCATTATTTTGTGTGCAGCCGCTCTCACTTTTCAGTTATAAGTGAAATAAATAAAATCCAAAAAACAATATCGTACCGAAGAAGATTCAACTTATGAAAAACAGAACGTTTGGATAGTTAGAATTAAACATTAATTTGATGTCGATGAGCATAACTGGGACCGGGAGTGGAATTCTCAAACTTTTAGGTTAAATTTCATCAAGAGTTCTTCTCCTTTAAGCGTCAGGTTTATCAAAATAACACCAAAGTAGGTCTAGAAGGCGGTCTGGATTTCTTGATACTCTGAGAGACCTCTTATTTAAACTCAGCACTTCATGTTTTATTTTCACAACTTGAGAAGAAATAGCTAGTTCGATCACTACAGTTAGCTAAAATAAAAGATCTAAACAGTGCATTAATTTCATCCATTCGTTGTTCTGGCTTCTTTGATTATCAGCTGGCTGTGACTGTTATAGTGACCAACGTGACTTTCATTATTTTGTAAATTCAGTAAAATGGTTTTGCAAGAATTAGTTTATTGTAAAATCTTCAATGGCCGGATTAAAGGTGTGAACCCAATCCACGTGTTCTGATGTAAACAGTATTCTGACACGAACTGCGTAAGTTTATGGAAAGCAGATTAAACTGGTCTTAACTAAGTTGTTGTTTACAGGTCTAAGGCTAATAATAATAATAATAATAATAATAATAATAATAATAATAATAATAATAATAATAATAATAATAATAATGATGGGATGCCAATCACTAACATTCATCGACGTCTTAGACGATGAGCAGAATTGTTCGAAGGACAGTTCGACTGGCCTGCTGCTCCGGCAACATCGGTCAGACTGTCCTGCCCTCCATGGCCGGTGACGACTGACCCACCAAATGAGGCGGAAGTCCGCAAGGAACTCCAACTCTTGAAACGCTACAAATCACTGGGCCCAGATGACTTACCTCCGGCTCTTTGTAAAGATGGTGGTGACTTTCTGACTAAGGTACTGACGACGTTGTTTACAAAGATCTGGGAACCAGAGAGTGTACCAACGTCATGGAATGAGTCGATAGTTGTGCCTATCTTTAAAAGGGTTCACGTCGTTCCTGTAGCAACTATCGGGGGATAAGTCTACTTCCCATTGCGTCCAAGCTATTGGTTTCCGTTATACTTCGTAGGTTGTTCAAAACCCGAGAAGGATTGACTCGCGAGGAGCAGGCTGGGTTTCGTTCCGGTCGAGGATGTATTGATCATATCTTCACCCTCCGCCAAATTTTAGAACACCGCCATACTTATCAAAGGTCAACAATCGTAGTGTTTCTTGACATCAGGGCTGCCTGAGAATTTTATAACATCCTAAAAGCCCTATATACAAAAACTTCAGACAGAGTGAGATCATACAACCACCTCTCTCCATTGTTCCATTCAAGCAGTGGGGTTAGACAGGGTTGCCTAATCTCACCATTCCTCTTCAACTTTGCCATCAATGACATTCTGGAAACAGCTCTGATGGATGTAAGTAATGGCGGTGTGGATCTGTTGCCTGGAGAAAGACTTCTCGACCTTGAGTATGCGGATGATATTGTCTTACTGTGCGTTAATGCCCAAGCCATGCAATCCTCACTTAACCAGTTGGCAATGAATGACCGTAGGTACGGTATGTGCTTTGCACCTTCGAAGTGCAAAGTACTTCTACAAGACTGGCACGATTCTAATCCTGTACTCACCCTGGATGGTGAGCAGATTGAAGTAGTCGAGAAGTTCGTGTATCTAGGTAGCTGCATAAGTGCTGGTGGTGGTGTGAGTGATGAGATCAATGCTCGTATAGTGAAAGCCAGAGCGGCTTATGCCAATCTGGGCCATCTTTGGCGCCTTCGTGATGTTAGTCTGGCTGTTAAAGGTCGGATCTACAACGCGCCGGTAAGAGCAGTTTCGCTCTATGCTTGTGAAACGACGACGACTCTCTGTGTTCGATCATCGTTGTCTCCGAAGGATTGCTGACATTCAGTGGCAACACCATGTTAGTAATGCAGAGGTTCGGCATCGTGTGTTCGGGCGCAGAGACGATAATCCAATTGGTGTCACCATCTTGAAACACCGACTTCGGTGGCTTGGACATGTTCTACGAATGTCGTCCCAGAGAATTCCTCGTCGTGCATTATTTGCCGACTCTTGAACTGGTTGGAAAAAGTAGAGAGGTGGTCAGTATATGACTTGGTGTCGTGGTATGAAAGAAAGCTGCAAATGGCTGGCTTCTGTTGGTCCTTCACGACTCCCTGGCTGGGGTCCGAGAGATGGTGCAACACAGTGGCTAGAGGCGTTATCAGATATGGCTCAGAATAGAAGCCAGCGGCGATCCTGCTGTAACTTTCTTCATAAAAAGTGGTTGCTCCTTCCTTAACTGAAAGATTTCTTCTGATTATACCTTTCCGTTTCCCCCATTATTATTACACTACCTTACACTAATCTGTTCGTTATTGTTCTTTTTTCTCTTCTTTTCAAATTCTCATTGTTTTGTGTGGCTCATATATATCTGGTGCCCTCTTGTACCAATATTTACGTGTTCAAATAAATAAATAAGGCCAATACATTCTTTGTCAGTATTGAATTAGGCTATTTATCTATAGAAGTTGTTTCTGATGTTTAGATTATTGTGCCATCCTTTTTTCTGTTTTTTTTTCCCACAATCGAAGCATGAATTCCCCATCGATTCAGTTCGGTAAATTTCCAGAGGAAGTTTTATCGTCGGCAAATTCATTTCAAAGTGTTGGTAGTCATTTAAGCAACAACTCTTTTTATTGGTCGATGACAGTTCAAGTTCCGACTGATGTGTTAGAGGAAATAGATAAACTGGCTGATTATGCTTTAGGTGAGTATTCATCAAGTGACTTACAAATGCATCCTAATGACAATGATATCAATCCAGGCATACAAGCTTACGCTAGATGTCTAGTATACATGCAAAAGGTACGAATTTTTATTCGATTGTTACAGTTGTTCGTTAATTGAATTTCCAGTGTTTTTTTATGATCGATATTCCACAAACATGTATGTGCAGTGGAACTGGTTGTAATAACTATACTCTACTCATTATTTTGTTCATGTCTATCAAAACGGATAATAACGTCTGAATTTTAGTGGTGTAGCATTCTGTGAGCTTTGTGATTTAATTTGGAAGATTTGGTAATCATTCTGAATGACATCATCTGCACCTGCCTAAAATACACATCGATCTATCCAAAATTGCATCCTCAAGGCTTAGAGAACGTAACACCACAAAATGCATCAACCTAAGCTGCAGTTTTTCTCTGTCAGTGTTTTTATTTGTTGGTAAATATACTGAAGGTAAAATATACTGAAATTATTTCTCAAAAGTTGTATTTGGAGTTAAAGATAGTTGATAGGATGCCTTAAAGTTTTGCTTCTAGTTGATTTGTATCCCTTTAAAAGAGGGTATTTGCAACTTTGAGATATTACTCTACAAGAGACCGAAAAAAGAATCAGAGATTCCTCTTATATGACGTTTTAATACGTGCTGTGAGTGAAATCTAAAAATAATGGTCGTTAGATCTTTGTTGGATGATTAGCTGTAATTCTGGATTAGAAATTGATAACGAGTTTGCCTGTGAATAACGCTTGAACAAAAAGTAGAATCGAAGAAATGAAAAAAAATTTAATCAGTGGGGTTGTATTTCATTTGGATATATTACAAGCGAGATGTGATGGTACATGTAAGTTGTATATAAAGTAAGCATTATCAAGTGTAAATATTATCTTGAATTATAGATATCATCATTAAGATAAGACCTTGTTATTTCAAATAAGTTAAGAACTGCGTAGAATGTTAATAATAAAGTAATGATATATTTGTAATATCCTAATGTGTAGAAATTAGTATTTCTGACGTTTTGTAATTTAGTGTAAGGCATTTTTTCAGAGTAAATCAATAAGTAACTGGCTTAGATCAACATAAGTTAAAACAGCATAAAGGAACTGAGTGTAATTCAGCTTTAATATTCAGTTCACACCAAATGAATACTGATTTTTGAGATATTTTGGCGATTCTTCATGACATAATATTTTAACAAGCCTCGGTGGTTTTGCCCAAGTTTTTCATCTATACCATTTTATAGGATTGAGACTATCGATTTGGGTAATAGATGTATGAACTTTCATGCAGTTACAGAGTATTAAATTTTTTTCTTAATTTCTAAACAATGTGAATGTACAATTGTGTTATTGGTTCGAATCTTTGTTTCACATTTGTTATAGTATCGCTATTGCCCAGAATTCTTGTGGCGTTTAGCTCGTGCTACCTACATAGCCAGTGCAGAAGCGCCATTAGATGAAGCTGTGTCACAAAAGGATGATGCATCATACAGCCATCACACTTTAAACGATATTGCTTATAAAGTGCAAACTCGTCGCCAGTTTATTGAGTCAGGAATAAAACATGCACGTCGAGCGTTAAGTCTCGCACAAAGAGCTCCTCCACCACCGTTGGATAACGATCCAACAAAACTAGCTCCAATATATAAATGGTTAGCTATTTTAGTTGGTGTCTATTCATCTTACCTCAGTGCTCAACAAAGAATACAGTATGGTTATGAATTTAAGGCAAGTTATCTAGATGTACTATACTTGCTTTTTTATTTAGTTCCACTCACATCATTTGACGTTCTATATGGAAAGAAATCCAAACATTGTTGATTACAAATGAATAACTAAGTGGACAAATAAATTAAGCGACCTCAACGATATGCATAAATGCAGACAAATATGATGTACGAGTTTATTTTTGCATCTGATTTTCGATCAATATGGGTGAATGCTGCTGTGAATATGTAGGTCATCAATAGCGAATTAGCGGTCCAAGCACTTAGATTCCATTTCCTGGTTTTTGTTTTTGAAACTGTCCACGTACATCCCTTCTGGCAGCCGAGTTGTACCAGTAGATCTTACACGGTGGCTTAAATCCGAGTATGTAGACTTGTAAGTGGTGAGATATTTTAGCGAATTATTACACGCGTAGATTTTCTCGTTTTCATACGATTAGGTTTGTATCTGTTAACAGCGACTGTTACCAATGTGCAATTAGCAAATGTTTTTTTATAAAGTGTATATTGTTCCGTCATAGTTTCATACTATACTTAGGTAACCACTCTGTTATAGTCGTCCTCCAAATCTTAGATATATTAAAGATCTAAGTGTCTTCACTTAAGGAATAGTCTTTTAATATTACGTAAACATCTTTAGAAAGTGCAATGTATAAAGCCTCTCTTTTCAACATATTGATAAGCATCACTATGAAAATCTTTCATGCAATGTGCCGTCACACTTTCCTTGTTTAGTTATAAGAAAATCCGTTAGTCCTCAGTCACTGAGTGGTTGTGCAACTCAAGTCTGATTTCACAAGCATTAGAAGTTACCTTCGCGAATGAACATATACACCATGTAAGGTAATTTGAATTAAATCTGTGTGCACACACGTTCAGTTTTGCTTTTCTGGACCCAATCGTTAGTAATTTTATATACCGCACTTTATTATATATTTCAACTGTTTTTTATAATTTGTTAAAGGAATTAATTGACACCGCAATCAAGCTTGACGCTTCTGATGCCCTATCCTATTATCTACAAGGTCGTTGGTGTTATGAGGTATGTAACTTGCTGCCACTCAGGAAATTCTATTGCTCATAATAATTTAACTTGTTGAAAAGTTTTCTCACCATCCGTCGAGAAAATACAAATATCTTATCAACAAAAACGGAATTTCAAACAAACCTAATTCCTCCCAAATTTTCCTTCCGTCACTCTTATTGAACACTACCTATGTTGCATCTCAAATAATAAATTCTCAGTCCTTCTTCACGCTTGGCTACTATATATGCATTAAGAATTCTCGTTCGTTAGAAGTTTTTGATAATACTTCGTGTCTTTACAGCTCTTAAAAAAAGCTACTATAGTACCATAGATTAATGTGAAAGACTTATTCTTTCCCTAAGAAAACTAGATAATACACTTTATCTACAGGATGTTAGACAAATGCAACCAGTCAGTCAGCTACAACGTAGGACGTCCAACAGTATCAATGACACATTCCCCTAGCTGTTCTTGTTTTTCATTTTAATCCTAGGTGTATAACGTTTCGTGGATTGAGCGCCAGATTGCATCTAGGTTATTTGGCAAGCCTCCGACATCTACCATTGAGGAAGCTGAGACAGCATTTGAAAAGGTAAGCACAGATTTAAGGAATTTGGTTCAGTATTTATTAGCGTTCAACTTTCGTTTAATTAAATTATTTCATTTGTTTGATTGAACAGGCTGAAGAATTGCGTTCAAACCACTACGCTGCACTGTATCTGTATCAAGCTAAATGTTCTTTGTCATACTTAGATTACAAAACAGCACTGTATAAATTAAACAAAGCTCGAGACTTATTTGGCCAACATAGATATCCTATACCACACACAGATATCGGTTCTATACAACAAGAAGTAGATCAACTGTATGACAAGTACTCTGGATACCTATGAAACCATGTATATAGCGAAAAATATATATTACTTTAATTTATATATTTCTTATCATTTCCATTCACTTAAGTTGTATCTTATTTATAACAGGGAAATTTTGTGATATATACATAGAGCGTGAAGAATTACATATGATCAAGATATTCGTTTATAAATTTTAGCTTTCTTGGCTTTCTTATCAGATACACCAAATGGTTTATAACGCTTTTGGCCTGGATTTTCTCGTGTTCTCTTTGATTTTACATTCAAATCCACCTTGGGAGTAATTGATAGTCCACATGTTCTTGCTGTTGCGGCCAAGTCTAGTTCATCTACATTGAAACAGCTTAGGCCAGACGAAGCGTAAGCACGAACTATACCTTTGAAGGCTTCCTGAGCAGAAAGAGCAAGGAAATAGTTGTTTTTGACTAACTTCTCCAAAGCTGGTTGCACATCCGCCATCTTTGAATTAGCTATTTCATACTCTACAACCTTAACTCGAGCTTTTCTTAAAATTGATAGGAACTCTAATTCATGAGGTCTCAACACTAGCAAAGCATTTCCCGTGCTGCCTGCTCGAGCTGTACGACCAACTCGATGTATATACTCTTTGGCATCATCAGGTGGGTCATATTGTAAAATCCAATCAACCTACAAAGAGTAAATAATACTGTAACACGCATCAGAAAAATGAGACTATTACACTGAATATTCAAGAAAGTTTAAAGTAACATATCTTTTATTTGAAGGATAAAGTGAGTGTACAAAACACTAAATAATTTACTAATCGTTTAATTGACTATGATACATACATAAATCTATTTATAAGAAACGGAATAGGTCATAAAAACGCAATGTGAGAATACGTTTGGAAATCTAGTCATGAATCTGGTCCACGTAAATAAGCTCAAGGGTATTGATCATTGACATTTTAACCAGGTACGTTACTAGCTCTGAGTACTCAAGTAGCATTTCGAACCGCAAACCACATATGTGGTTCCAGCTAGCTGAATTTGATACTTGAGCTTTAGAGAAGCCCGTTAAGACTAGAAAACGTTTGTCATTAATGAATGTCGTATCTAAGACGCTCGTATTTTCTATTTGTGGGGTCATACTATCAAGCCAATCAAGATCATTTATTTATTTATTTGAACACGTAAATATTGGTACAAGAGGGCACCAGATATATATGAGCCACACAAAACAATGAGAATTTGAAAAGAAGAGAAAAAAGAACAATAACGAACAGATTAGTGTAAGGTAGTGTAATAATAATGGGGGAAACGGAAAGGTATAATCAGAAGAAATCTTTCAGTTAAGGAAGGAGCAACCACTTTTTATGAAGAAAGTTACAGCAGGATCGCCGCTGGCTTCTATTCTGAGCCATATCTGATAACGCCTCTAGCCACTGTGTTGCACCATCTCTCGGACCCCAGCCAGGGAGTCGTGAAGGACCAACAGAAGCCAGCCATTTGCAGCTTTCTTTCATACCACGACACCAAGTCATATACTGACCACCTCTCTACTTTTTCCAACCAGTTCAAGAGTCGGCAAATAATGCACGACGTGGAATTCTCTGGGACGACATTCGTAGAACATGTCCAAGCCACCGAAGTCGGTGTTTCAAGATGGTGACACCAATTGGATTATCGTCTCTGTGCCCGAACACACGATGCCGAACCTCTGCATTACTAACATGGTGTTGCCACTGAATGTCAGCAATCCTTCGGAGACAAAGTGATGATAGAACACAGAGAGTCGTCGTCGTTTCACAAGCATAGAGCAAAACTGCTCTTACCGGCGCGTTGTAGATCCGACCTTTAACAGCCAGACTAACATCACGAAGGCGCCAAAGATGGCCCAGATTGGCATAAGCCGCTCTGGCTTTCACTATACGTGCATTAATCTCATCACTCACACCACCACCAGCACTTATGCAGCTACCTAGATACACGAACTTCTCGACTACTTCTATCTGCTCACCATCCAGGGTGAGTACAGGATTAGAATCGTGCCAGTCTTGTAGAAGTACTTTGCACTTCGAAGGTGCAAAGCACATACCGTACCTACGGTCATTCATTGCCAACTGGTTAAGTGAGGATTGCATGGCTTGGGCATTAACGCACAGTAAGACAATATCATCCGCATACTCAAGGTCGAGAAGTCTTTCTCCAGGCAACAGATCCACACCGCCATTACTTACATCCATCAGAGCTGTTTCCAGAATGTCATTGATGGCAAAGTTGAAGAGGAATGGTGAGATTAGGCAACCCTGTCTAACCCCACTGCTTGAATGGAACAATGGAGAGAGGTGGTTGTATGATCTCACTCTGTCTGAAGTTTTTGTATATAGGGCTTTTAGGATGTTATAAAATTCTCAGGCAGCCCTGATGTCAAGAAACACTACGATTGTTGACCTTTGATAAGTATGGCGGTGTTCTAAAATTTGGCGGAGGGTGAAGATATGATCAATACATCCTCGACCGGAACGAAACCCAGCCTGCTCCTCGCGAGTCAATCCTTCTCGGGTTTTGAACAACCTACGAAGTATAACGGAAACCAATAGCTTGGACGCAATGGGAAGTAGACTTATCCCCCGATAGTTGCTACAGGAACGACGTGAACCCTTTTAAAGATAGGCACAACTATCGACTCATTCCATGACGTTGGTACACTCTCTGGTTCCCAGATCTTTGTAAACAACGTCGTCAGTACCTTAGTCAGAAAGTCACCACCATCTTTACAAAGAGCCGGAGGTAAGTCATCTGGGCCCGGTGATTTGTAGCGTTTCAAGAGTTGGAGTTCCTTGCGGACTTCCGCCTCATTTGGTGGATCAGTCGTCACCGGCCATGGAGGGCAGGACAGTCTGACCGATGTTGCCGGAGCAGCAGGCCAGTCGAACTGTCCTTCGAACAATTCTGCTCATCGTCCAAGACGTCGATGGGTGTTAGTGATTGGCGTTCCGTTATCCTCGCTCACACCAGACTTCTTGCTGCCAGTGGCTCGGATGAGTTGAAAGAGTTTCCGGTAATTACCAGATGCAGCGGCAGTCTTGTAGACAACCACGCCAGCGGTAGCTGATCGCGATGTGATCAATCTAAGTCGAGGCTTGGGATGCAGAAGGCGGACGCCAGGTGGCACATTGGCGATGACTGTGCCTAAAGTTAGTGCTAGCCAGAAACAGGTTGTGGTCTGTGCATATTTCATTACGTAACATCCTTCGTTTGTGGTCAAACTCACGGTCACCCGGAGTAGACCGACGGGCTTCAATCAGTTGTAAGGAACCAGAAGAAACCCAGTGCTTGTAAGCGGGACGTTTCGCAAACCCACAACAGACTGTACCCGCCATTTTCATGGCGTCATGCAATCGCAACCAATGCTCATCTATACTTTTCGGTGGAATGGTAGCTAGCCTAGAAGCTAGCTCGGTTCGGTACTTACTAGCAACAGAAGTTGCAGCCAGCTTGCTAACATCAATCCTTTGGTGGCGGTCACTTCGTTGTCCACTGAAAAGTAAGGTAAGATTGGCGCAGACCAGAGCATGATCAGATTCCAGATAGGTACTCCAAAAGGAGCGGCAGTCTTGTACACAACCGCGCCAGCGGTAGCTGATCGTGATGTGATCAATCTGAGTCCAGGCTTGAGATGCAGAAGGAGGACGCCAGGTGGCACATCGGCGATGACTGTGCCGAAAGTGTAGTGCTAGCCAGAAACAGGTTGTGGTCTGTGCATAGTTGCAGTAGACGTTCCCCGTTATCTGTCCTGCGACCAACGAGTCCCCATCGGCCACCTAAACGACTCTCTTCTGTGCCTAGACGCCCGACCTGAGCATTCAAGTCTCCAGCTAGTACTACAATATCTGTCGAACGCACTTTCTGGAGAAGTATTATTATTATTTTATTTTAACACATAGGTATTGGTACAAGAAGGCACCAAATACATATGCGCCACACGAATCTCAATTGATTTGTGTGAGGGCTGTGATACTGCCCGGGTGCCCAAACCGAGGCAGGTGGTTTTCTTAGGGGGCCACACCACGAGCCTTTGACCTGAACGTCTGATCCACAAAGCAGTGGAGCATCGTGAGGAGATGCAGTCCCATGGTAGCCGGTGACCAACGATTGGTTCATACGCCATTTGTTCCCGCAGGATACTGGAGCCCATGTGCACCATTGATTTGGGATCCGGTTAAAGCGCCGGACATTCGCTTTTCATCCTCTCATTTTCGTAAACAACACCCCCGCCACGAGAAGGCAGTGAGTAGGACTTCCCTGGCAGGGGCTATATACGCGTGGCCATGTGAGAGCATTTCGAGAGGGAGAGCGGACTCTCCTCACTCTCGGCCGTACCAGGGCATTTGGGGGCAGTTAACTGCCGGTAGAACTCATCGTTGATTGCATCCGGGCTGCAATCTGTCGGGGCATAGGCGGAGATGACGAAAAGACATCGTTTCTCACGCCGATTTCTTCTCACTTTGATGGAACTTTCTAATCTAACAGCACATAACGGAGTGTTAATGGGGATCCAGTCGATTAGTGCTGCCTCAGCTATAGTGCTTAGTGCGACACCAACGCCAGCAAGACCAGACGAAGATGCCACAGGGTCCCCGGATAAACGCACGCAAAACAAGCTTTTTGAAGTGACAGATGGAGAGCGAATTTGTAGTACTTCACCAGAGTCTTGAATACGGGTCTCGGATAGACAACAAACATCGATATTAAGACTTTCCAAAGACATAGCCTATCTGTTGTCCGACCTGCATAAGTGTGCGAACGTTAAAGGCAGCCAGTTTGAATGGTGCACGCGGTTTCAGAAAGACTGCTTCAGTACTCATGTTCGATGGTAACATACAATTTTCAACCAGGCAGTGACTCGAGAACGTTTAGATAGAGCCGAATTTTCACCATGGGCGAGCTGCTGTCTAGGTCGAAACGGATACATAAAGTGGGAATAAGAGAGAGTGAATAAATGGCGTAGTAAATATTAATAATAATAACAATAATAGTAGTGCGAGTCATTTC